AATTACATAGACTACATTCTAATAATATTTTAAGTATATATACAATTATGTTTTTAGTTCTCATAATTTTCCAAAATACTTTTTTATTGTGTAGGTAAAAATGTTAAAATTCTTACATAATGCTATTGTTTATCAATGTAAAATGTTTGAAATCATTTTAAACATTAAATTACTTGAAAAATGCATAAAAGATAAGAAACAAATTGAAAATAATGATGATAGTGTATTATGGTTCATTGAATTTGAACTCGAGACTTATGTAAGTCAAATCTATTTCTTTTTTTAATGCTAGTATTGTTTTTTTTTAATCAACATATTAATTATTAAAATTTGGCAAATGTTGAATAGGTTATAGTTTTATTTTGATGTATTATTTAAGCGTACAGGGATTATTATACTAATAAGGCTAATTTAGTTTTGAATAGATATTACACGACAGGGGAATGCCACAGAGTATTAGCTCAGCAAGTACAAAATACTTTTTGTGTCAATATACACTCCCCCATCTTAACACAAAATCTCAATTGCATAATATTTCTGCACTTTCATAACTTTCACCTACCTATATTTATAACTAAGTGCGACAATTTCTCATAGCTTAACTATTTTGTATATAATCACAGAAATAAATTAAATAAGAAGGAACTTTTATAGTTTATTATTTATTTAAAAAGTAAAAATTATTAAAAAAATATTTTCTTTGGTAGAGCTTGTTCACCACCTAACGAGCATTCCCATTTCCCGTTGCATGAATTATTTTATATGATTTATTAAGGATTTTAAACAAGAACAAGAAAATAATATTTATATTGAAACACTGGGTATTATTCATACTTCATGGTACAACAGGTTTAATTTAGCTCTGCATTACTTACAACACAACAATAATTTTTGGAAGTTAATATTTAAGACACTTTTTCATAATAAATAAGTATTATAACCAATATTAACTATTATTCATCATAACTCATATTGTTCTATGGTAATTTGAATATTTTCATTGTCCAAAAGGTTATTTTACATTTATTTCATAACATTCAGGTCATAAATATTTTAGATATAATATAATATAATATTTATAATCAATATACAATGTATATCACATTAAAAGAATATGACTTGAAATTTATTTTTTATACATTATAGATGTATCAATGTTGTCACAATGTGAAAATATTGAAATATGTATTAGTTAATATAAAAATTAATTTTTTGTTAAATCAACTAAATTTATGCTTATTATTTATAAATTATTTATTTTGATCCGATAACATATACATAATATTTATAGAATGACATCAAAAATAAATTCAGAAGTACTTTCAATTTCACTTGAAGCCCATTATTATCCTATTGAAAGCAATAAAGAATTTGCAGAATAATTGGATATTATTTTTAAAATTAGATTAAACCGCATGTTCAAAGTAAGTTATTTAACTATAAACTCCGTAAAAATTGACTTCATATTATAAGTTTACCTTGTTAAGTGGATCAACTTAATTTTCTATTGCTTTCTTTTAATTTTCAGGGATTTTAAAATTTTTTTAAGACAATAGTAATTATTTAATTGATATTAAACAAAAGTTAATTTACATGGAAGTACTCTTCTGATTTTAAAACCCAAGATTCTGCTGACAAAAATAAACATCTAGTTGTTGATAATATATTTAAATTATTTATAAGTGAGTTGAAAAGCAATAATATAAGTTCAATTTTTAGTATGGAAGAGTCCTTATTGATCATAAATTCCACAAATGCGGAAAAAGAAAGTGTTTTATTTTTTTTTAATATTAATTTAATATCGTTGGTTACTCACTCAACCATAAATAATGCCAAGTAATATAACTATAAAAATGTCGTTTGTAATCCTGACAAGTCTGTTAGCAATTAATCTAGTGTACACGAAAAATTTGTCCCACATACCTAATCATTAAAATAACTACTCTTTTAAATTGTATACTCAAATTGTTCAGTATACTCTAAAAGACGATGTACAGAACTTCAATACTTTTGGATCTTATTGTAAATATGAATGAATATTATTGAAAGCTTTAAAAATGTCATAGTATTAAAATGTATATTAAATTAAAAACAATAATTAAAGAAAGTAATATAAATTATATATTAACTTTCTATTAGCTCAATATTTATAATATACTTAATTTTTTTTATTTTAACCATTAATGATGTATTGATGTACAAACAATATTAAAACTACTTAACGACAATGAATTATTAGCAAAAAGTCAAACATCAAAAACTGCAGTATTAATATTGTGGTAAATGAGATTGTAAATATTATACTTTTAAACGATGCAGCTTTAACTGAAAATGTTCCTAAAGGTTTTTAGCATAAATATATTTATTCTATTTATGTTTAAAAATGTTTTTAACTTACTTATTGTAAACGTTTTTAGTAATGATATGAACAGTAGTATTTGTGAACTTGCTGAAAATCAATTGAAAAATATCAGTGAAACAGATCATGAATATCAAACTATTGTTACTAATATAAAATTAACTAACTCATTATTTTATAAGTTCATACCTAAAAATACTAGATCATAAACTGATTGGCGCCAATTATCTCTTTTAACAAATACTATCTGTGTATTTTGTGTATTTAATTAATATTGCAACGCTTGATGTATGATGTAGTATTTATTATTATTTAATAAAAGAAACAAATGTAATTTAAAACTGTGGATTGAATAACTGTGCTAGAATATTTGTCACAATGAATTATTCACTGTTCAGAAAAATATCGAGTTGAATCGAATATTTTCTAAGTACAAATAATTAACTGTTCAAAATTATTTTACGTACAAAATAAAACAATCAAAAAACTGACTAGCATGAAGGTGCTCTGGCTCGTCTGGTCAAATCACATCTGAATATGGGCTGTTCGGGGGTCCCCTATATAGGCCTACCCTCTACTCCTCCTAGCACTCTTGATACGAGTATTGTTCCCACAGATGCTGTGTCCGCTGAATATCATACGGGAAATATTAACAGCCCACGCCCCGATACGACTTTCCTGAGTGCGCATCCTGGGTGTCGCAATGTGTATAGTCGAATATCTATTATGTGGTTTTCAAGATGACTATGCGTCTATGCACCAACAAATGATTAATCATAAGCATGACTTAATATTATTACAGTATTTCCCAGAATCAACACTTGTTTACAATATACTAATCGAAAATTGCTTATCATCTTTAAACGCGTTGCATCCCTCATATATTGTGTATAACCTATACCTCTATTGTCACCCCGTTATTACTTTTAAGGAGAGACGCAGGACACCAGTCTATAGCAGAGCAAATATTATGAAAAATTTTCTATTTTCGACAAGCGGAGGGAGTCATTAATTTATTTACACAAATGAGTCTATAGTTGCGGCACTGGCCATAGATAAATAAAAGTGTAGTCACCCTGTTTTTAAAGTTACTTCATCAATTTATAGTATAATATGATCATGATTATTTTTACAGTAATAAGTATTAACTCTATTAACCTGTGAGCTGTTCTATACTACATAAAATAAACTAAAGATTATATCATAATATTATTATGTAATAACTTATAGCTGGGAACACAATAGCGAAGTACCTACTACCTACCTATTATAATATTAAATTCTTCAAAATAATTGACTATACACTGCACTATACAGTACCAATAGATTTAGTACAACATTTTTGTATTTATTGATAATTTTAAATGATTAAAATGCATAATATAGCAAATAGTACATTCAAAAATAATTCATTTAACTCTGTTATGTTTAATTTTAAAGTGAATCGACCTACCAACAAATTTTAAAGTAAGGATATCATCCAATCAATGACATAGGTTTTTTTTATATTTCGATTTTGAAAAGAGTTATGAACATTTTAAAATGTTCATAATTAACAGGAAAAAAAATGCAGTTATCAATGATAAAAATGCAGTGTTAAAAAGCCTTAGGAGATGATAGATATTAGAAGTTGTTGATGTTAACTAAACTCTATTTGAGCTAAGAATTATAGTCAGGGACAGATTTGTATGCAGAGGCATGGCAATACGCACACCAGTTACACAGATGGGTAACTCAGTGGGGTATGACAAACGAGTGTTGCCTGACTGCTGCCCAACAAAAACTAATCACCGCCGACTACATTTCTTAACTTAAACAAAGTCTGGATAGATATTTCATTGTTTCGTTTTTGTTACAATAAAATAATTCTTTTCTTAAATAAATTATTCTATACAAATGACACTGACCCAAGCTAAAATTTAAATTTAAATAATCAATTATTAATAATAATTAAATAATAACATGGCACATGCTATTATTATACAGTTATTGCTGTTTATATTTTATATACTATTATAAAATTATCATAAATACTTGATATAAAAAAAATGTCTGTAGTACATCACTATCATAAAATATATTACTTATTATTTAATAATTACCATAAATTATATTTTTGAATTACTTGAGAGTAATGCTACAAATAAATTAACTACAGCCCTGGTTGTATAAAAAGATTAAATAAGATTTTCTATACAGTAATGAGTAAATAAATAAATTATACTTAATAATACATACATCATTTAAGAGTAATTTTATTTGTAATTTTATTAATTAAAATAGTTGTAAAATGATAACTAGGCTATGAATATTGAATTTATTATTATATAATATTTTGTTAGTATATACTATATACTACAATATTTTGAAAAAAATCATATTCATCAAGTTTTTAGCAAACATGAGTTTATTATTATTAATTTAAATACAATAATATTAAAAAAAAAAAATGGTTGACAATTAATTTATTTATAACTTGATTTATACCTAGTTACCCACTTTTATAAAAACAGCTAAAAACGTATTTAAAAAAAGTTAATATTTTTACAGATTATTTTTAAAAAACACTTAATATTGTTTTCAACGAGCCAAATATTTCAATGATAATTTAAAAGGATATAATTGAATTTGTAGAAAATAATACTATTTGAGAAAACATTTTATTATAATACCTTAATAAAATTAAATGCTGATGCTTAAATAATAATAATAATTATGAAGTACCAAGTACATTTTTTGACATTATAACATTGATGTTTGCGTGTTATGGTTTCAATAAAAATTAAATAAATTGTTAGTTAGATTACACTCTTTTGCGGTCAGTAAGCACTCTGATTATACTACCAGCTCCGCCAAGTGCATAGGCTTTTTCATGCCACATAAGAAGATGACTGCTTTTTTTCTCAGTTGACTTTTCAAATCCTTTGTAAATATACTTCATAAGAATATCTATCATGTCAACATCTAACTGAGCAACAACTTCATCTATTTGAGATAGTTTGGTGGCCAGAAGAACTTTCATTACAACATTTAAGGCATTGTCCTAAATAAATAACAAAAATATATAATTGTTTTAAATAAAATTGTTTAAAAATAAAATATACCCTTAATTGTTGATTTTTTGATCCTAAAGGCGCATTTTTCAATGCCGTTATTAAAGCATCAGCAAAACGACCTCTGTACAAATTATTAAGGAGAATCTTAAATTTAATTATTATTTATGCTGCACTATGAAAAGAAAAAAATCATAAGGTGACATGGGTAAATCCTATTAAATATAAATCATAAATTTATATTGGTACTGAGGAATGTAAGACACAATACCTACACAGTTCTGTGCTACACATACATAATATTATACAATTTATATAAAATATGTATACCAATATATAGAACCCTAAACCATTTTAAATCAAATCTCCAGTTACTATTGTATTTTTGTAATGATTTTAATATATTTACTGAAATTTAATTTGATAATGACCTGTATATTTATTTATTACAATCATTAATCAAATAACTTAGTTGAAACATTTTTTGAGAAAAATATTCAATTTATAAAATAAAAAATAATTAGATAGAAAAATTAAAAACAAATATAAGTAACAAAAGTAATTAAGAACTATTTATTACTTATTCAAGGTAACAAGTAAAAACATCTAAGCACAAAATCGCTTAAACATAAAATAGATACTAGTTAAAAATGCTAAGGATAAAATATTTATTGATTAGGAAGAACGAGTATATCAAGAAAAGTGAAAAAAAATATGGTACAAGGAAATATGTTGTAAAAAGTAATACAAATTGAATTTTGATGAGTTAAAATTTAAAATATAAACATAAACATAGATAATACATTTTATTGCATTATTATTTTTACAGATTAATTTTTTTTTTTTTTAATTATCGATATTAGAAATGACTAAGTGTTACCTATTTTTTAATAAATACTTATATGCTGTATCTTATAATGTAACCAACTTGGGAAGAATTATAAAAAAATTATTCAACATATTCCAAACAAAATAAAGTTGTTAAAGTATTGTGATACTTTCATTACATTACTACAAAAAAATAAAAGAACGTACCAACCTAAATATTGTTCAAAAATAAATGGTATATTAAAGTGGTACTCGATTATTAGTCAGTGATTTTTAATAATTCAAATGTCATCAAAAATATTGAACATTTTATTAACACTACAATAAAGTTCATTTAAAAAAATTTAATTAATTTGGTAGTATACTAATTAAGCAATACAACAAATCCAAATTTCAATAGCTAAAAACCCTAGAAAAGGGAATAAGGGACTAAAATATGTTTTAAAATTAATATCAGGCTTTCGGTAATGGGTGAATTTTGGCACACACAGTTACACAGTACACCCGGTAAATGTAAAATATTGCCTAGATCAAATCCCTTTCAACAGCCTTAATTATTTATAATTATTATATAATGTATATAATAATAATAAATTATTTAGATTTTTTCAAAATTGCATTACCATAACTAATGCATACCAAATAACTAATCATATTCAGCTAAGTTTGTGAATACTATACTGAAAGTCCCTAATTATTGAATATAAACTAATATTTTTATAATCATTTTTATGCATTTATTTTAATATCATTTAATGTTTGTGATTTATTTATTAATTTGGTTTTAAATATATTTAATTTAATTAATTTTACAATAACTATTAACAACTATATATTGTTCGATGGGTAGTCGTGGCAGCTAACAAAAAAACCAATGTGCTATCGCAATCAATAAGGAGTACCTAGAGATTAATTTTTATTAAAACCCAGAAATAAATCATTTAATAAACATTGTATTTATCAAAGTGCTGATATATATGAAATATATTCATCATACGCCAGATTTTACAAAAATATTCTCAAATATTCTCTAACCCCTAAAATATGCTTTTTTATGCAAAGTAAATTTTTTCCTGTGAATTCTGTTTTATTAGTCGTAAAGATTTCTCACTCCCGTTTGGACTAGAAACAAATATGTAAAACCATAAAATCCGACCTCTAGTTATAATAAATTAGAATTTAAAAAAGTTCCATTATGTGGAAACCAGGGGCCCCTGAGCCCTTCCCTAAGTCTAGCCTTTTGTATATAAATGTTGTCCAATGTAATAAATTGAAATTTCAGAAAATATCTCAAGAAAAAAAATTATATTTTGTTCTAATATTGTAAGCCTAAATTATAGAAATTAATAATTTAAATATTGGAAGGTAAATTTCAATACAAATTTTGATTTTGATTTTAACTAACATAAAGTGCAAGCCAAGAGGGCTTAATAATATATTATAGATTTGATTATTGACAAAATAATCTATTTTAAAATAAAATGATACCAAAATGTGTACAAAATTAATTAAAATTAAAATAATATTAATTACAAACTATAGCAGAACTATTTAAGTTTAAATATATAAATACTTATGCATACAAATTTCTATTAAATCGTCAGTATGAAGAATTTGAAATGATCTAGAACCAATGGGCAATGGAAGTAGCTGTTTGGACGTTAAAAAAAAATAATAATAATAAATCAATCAACCAATGGAAATATCAGTGTAAAAATTAAAAAATTAAAACACAATATCAAAATAATTATTTTATTAATAATACACCTAATGGATCAGTATAAAGATATTTAAAGAAAAATTAAAAAATGGTTTAAGATTAATAATTTAATATTAAGTAATTAAAATTTTTTTTTTTTTATTTAATGGAAAATTTACAATCTGTATTACGTAACACAATAAGTAAAAAAGATGACTGACATAACACTATATACATAATAAAAATAACACACGGAGCACAAGATGAGGGAAATCATCGATGGTACCCTCCAGTAATTTTGTTTTATTTATTAATTTAATAAGTCACGGCACCAGTTTTTTTTTTGAGTCAGCACGGTGGGTTGTCTGGAAGAATATGTGATACTAGGGGAGAGACTAAAGGTTTGTGATGGTGTTGCAGTTTAGAGTGAACTCTGTTATAGTACAATTTATCTAGTTGGTCAACTGTTGGAATTCTTAGGTCTTTGTGCAGGGTTTCATTTGTTACGTACCGTAATTTAAATTAAATAGAAAACATTGGTGATTCTATGTAAAAACTATATTTAGTTCAAGTTTATTTCTAAATCATAAAATCAATGATAATGTTCATACTACAACTATAATGAAATTGTATAGTATTATGGGCTATCTTCCAATATGCGGTCTACCTCCGTTTTGTGTACTAGGTAACTATAAATATGAGTACAGTATGCGGTCTATCAATGTTATGGTGTTCTACTTATAGCTGGGAATCCATTTATATTTAATAAATTATTTATTATCTACCAATTTATGTTTTATCTTAATTGCTCATAACAATATATATTTTATCATGTAACAATACTGTTCATTCTTATTCCTGGTTTGGATATAAAGGTTTATCTGAAAAATGCTATGTATATGAAACAGTTAATCATTCAACAAAATTTGTGGACCCTGAAACTGGTGCCAATACGCAAATAATTTAAAGTCTTTTAAAGCCTCTTAGACTTTAAATTGTTAAGAAAATGTGTGGTACTAATGAAAGACCTCTTAGAGAGGTACTTAGCCGAGTATTAGTGGTGATGATTAAATAAAACTGATAACATTTTTGATGCTTTCCTTAGAGATATCAAATTATGCTTTGTGGATAATTTTATAGATCCTTAATATATCAAAACATATTTTATTTATACTTTTAATAGCTATTTGAAAACTGTGTTTTAATGTAATTTATAGTATAACAATTATAAATGAATTTCTTAATAAATTTGAATTTTTTTTTTTATACTTTTAATATTATTACGGTAGACCACGTCCATTTTGGTAGACCGCATATTGGGAGATAGCTGTATTATGCCTTAAAGTGTATAATTGAATATCACATAGGTATTAAACATTTTGATTAATATTGTATTATAGTAAATATAAGTAATATGAAAGAGAATAACTATTTTTGATATTTTATTTTATTTACTATAATTTTCATTAATTGATTTTTTTTTTTGCTTCAATTGTCCCACATCTAAACGGTACGTCTATTTGCTTCTATTTTTTAAAATTATTAATTATCATTCAGAATGTATAAAAATTCACTTATTTTAACCTGGGGATTTATTTCTATATTATACAAAAGAGTTTGCTTAGATATATTTCAAGAATATTATTTTTCATGATTATTAAAATGAATAAATATTAATTTATGTAAAATTAAATGAACACATTTGGAAAGCTTTAAATTAGAATTGATTCATACATAATAAATATATACTATAAACATATACAACTCATACAAATAGCACATGTACAGTTGATAATGTACATTTTACTCAGAGTTGAATTAAGTCATAAGACAATATTACGCTAAGCCTAAAACATCAACGTAATCTAACGATGCTTTGTAAAAGATACATGACTAAGTTAAATCTGATGTAATTATAAAAATGGCTGAAAAAACTATTTAGCTTAATGAATGAACCACTGTTATTAATGTACCTAAGTAAAATAGTACTATTATAGTGAATGACAGACAGTTACGCAAATTAAATATTTAAAAAAAAAATAAACATACCTATTACCTACACAACATTGAAAAAATATAACATTTGTCTATGAATTTAATGAGAAAGTGAGTATTCATTTTCATTGTTTCTTCCAATAAATTTTTATAATATTGTAAAACAAATCTGCATATTATGTTTAATAAAGGATACTGGTTAATCATAGTTGTAATTTCAGATTCATCTGGAATGGCAGTTGTCGATTGACTTTCGGGTTGTTCGTCTTCTTTGAAATTCTCATTGAATTGATCGACGTCAATTTTCCGGAACGCTGAACTTCTTGTGTTTTCAGACATTGTGTATTTCCAAACTTGTGAATTTTTGAGCAAATACTAATGTACGAGAGTACAAGACAAACAAGTAAATTTAATCAGTTAAAATTTTAGCCTCGCTGATAAAGTGATAGCCACATACAAAATAGTAAATACTATCGTCAATAAATATAACACTACAATACACAATCACTATTATAATTTATGTTAATTGGTCACTAAAATGCCGAACAAGAAAAAATACTATTGAGTAATAATAAAAATATTCCTTAGTGTATTTTTAAAACAAATTCACATTTGCATAGAACAATATAATATTATTGTAATATGGTCATTTTATTCATTGATAAAGACCACATTATCAAGAACGATTATGTGAGATAACATTTGTTTATGATGATAAATATTATGACAGCAAGTATTATAGTATTTGTTAAACGGAAATTGTTGATAATTAATACTCAATACTCATACATCATAGTATAATATGATCTAAGCTTGTTATTTGATTTCAATTAAACTACGTCTGTGAACTGTGAAATATAGCTCACGTTGTTGATTTATTCAAGATTTTCAAGAAGAAAAATTCGATGCGTATTGAAATCAGAATCCGATGGATACGGATCGATACATTTCGCACTATATGTAATTTATTGTTCGCTGGCTGTTGAACCGATACATTCCAATTTCTTCCTGAAAATCTTGATACAATAAAATACAATTTTTAACATTGTTGTCCATGCCTCCACAGCTCCCGTACATTTGCCACGCATCACTTTCTGATATGGCGGTACCTCCAATACTCAGTGTTGCCAGATATTATTTTGGAAAAAAGCCAACAGTACAATAAAAAAAGGCCAGAATTCGGCTAAATAACAAAATTCAAGATTTCATGATAATTGATAAGTAAAAACCATGATAAATAATATTAATAATAAAGTTTTGAAGTTTGGTAGAATATATATTAGCAAAAAATTATTTAAATAAATAAACAAAACAAAAAT